ACTTGGTCGAGCTTCTTCTCGATGTGTGGGTGTGCTTTTTAATATTATAATGAAAGCAGTTAACTTCAGGTCACCTTAAAAGTAACTTTTGTTGCCAAGTTGGCCCAATAGATTTCTACCTTGCTAGGCTGTCACATAACTCATCCTATAAGCAGTAGACCCTAGGTGCTTCTGTTATGCTCTAGAGAATAAGGACTAAGGCTATCATGTCACAGAGAATGGGGACTTCAAGCTACACAGCTCCCAATTTCTATGCTAACACAGCACCTCGTGCTAACAGAGGCTTACTTGTTGAATCAAGATGTTCTTATAGATAATTGCTTCATAAACACAAAATATAGAGAGATTTAGTAGAACTTAAAATAATCTGCAACAGCCAGAAAACTCACAGCACCTCATTGTTCACTCACCTTGGAAGGCAGAAAGACGGCGCTCCTCCAAAGGATTTTTATGCAGAGGATCTCCAAGATTTCTTCATCTTCCTTTACTATTTGTGTATGTAAGTGATTTTCAGGATCCTATCAGCTTTTACACATTAATTTACAACAGACTAAAGATTCACATTCCTTCCCCCCCCCCCCCATTTCATATATATCCAACTTCCCCACTGGTTGCACTGCTATAGGAAAGAGCAAATGGGAACAGGTATTTTTAAGCTGGCTACTGCCAATAAAGGCCTACTGAACTGTATGGTCAAGGTGTCTGCCAAAGGCATCCCATTTCTGTTACAAGTTTTTGGAGTCCGCAAATCAATAAAATGGTCATGGTGAGGAAATCACTAAATAGACCAATAATTAAGATAAAAGCTGTTCAAAATTGACTGATCTAAATTTTAGAGTAATCTGACATGTGGATTAATTTTGTTTAGCACTACTGTGCTCAAATGCGCAACAGCCACTTTCCAGCTCTTGCATTCCTATTTCCTTTTCAAGTAGATACTTGACACAAACTTTGGGCTTGTAAAGACCCAGTAAGGCCATTTGAATTGTAATTCTTGTGTTACTCGGGACATTGTCCATTAAATAACTTACAAAGGATTCTTGGTGTTGGGTAAGTTCTCTGGGATCACCTCAAACATCCTAACAACCAACCTTTGAAAATCAGTTAATTAGGCTCAGAGCAGATTACTATGGGGAAGAGCCCAGTAATTTTGGCACAGGAAAAATCTACAACCATGAGGTAATTGAGCACCATAAGAACTGCAAAGCTGGTTTCAACTTACAGATGAAACCATGAATATGTATCTGTCAGCTGCTGGTAAATGACTCATGGGAATATAGTCAAGACACATTTGCATTTAAGTCACTGCACCTGGAAAACATTTTTGAGGAAAACTTATGGAAACACTACACACACATTAGGTAGAAAATTAAGCACTCAAATTTTGCATTTTCAAGACAAACAGTTTGAAGACAGTAGACTTAATTCCTCAAAAATTATTTTGCATCATAAAGCAAAAGAATCAAGTTCTAGGAGTTGGCAGAATAAATAATGGCTACTTTTTTCACTTTAACAGGAAGTAAATGTTCTTTTTTGTTATAGGCCCTAAACAGATAAATATACTCCTTTCTTGAATAAGTACATGCTTTGTAACCTCCTATAGCTTTTACTCTTCAGGAAATAAAGTTGGAGTCACACATTCAGTTTTAACATCTATCGTGAGCTTTAACATCCATCAAGATGCCATAGAATCATAGAACAGCTCAGGTTGGAAAGGATCATCTAGTTCCAACCCCCCTGCCATAGGCAGGGACACCTCACCCTAGACCATGTCACCCGAGGCTCTGCCCAACTTGGCCTTGAACACTGCCAGGGATGGTGCATTTACCACTTCTTTGGGGCTGGCTGCTTTTATTTGCAATACATTTTCAAGATGACACTGCTTTCCAACCAATTGCTCACATAATATTTAGGATGCATTCATGATGACTCCAGATGCAAAATGGGAAAGGTCCATGTTGAAAGTACATTAAAAAGTTGCCACTAGCCATTGGACTACTATTTTCTAAAGATTAAGTTCTAGGAAAACAAGTTTATTATAAATATTTAAAAACATGAGCTGTAAGTTCCAAGGAAGCTGCACAGAACATGGAGATTAGAAAACAGGATCACATCACATCTTACAAACAGGAAGATTTCCATACATTTCAGTTTCTTTTCTGCCACAAGGTAGAAGACTGAGAATTAAAAAAAATAGTAATACACATCTTTTAACTATAAACACCCTTTGAACTGTTTTTTAAGTAAACCCCCCAAACAAACAAATAAAAAAAATCTTTAACAAATCAAGCTAATGTCAAATGGAAGATACATAAACATTTCAGCTTATTTATGTATTTCAGATGATCTTTGGTAGACTACCAGCAGCAAGGCTGCAAAGGTAGCCTGCTCTTTCCACATACAGTGCTGTGAAGGAAAAAAATAGGGTAAGCATCAAGAATGGTGATAAACTGCAGTAGTTAAACATTTATTTTTCATATATTCACAAAATCTTCACAGAAGTATTGAAACTCAAAAAGGAATTAGACTTGAGTCGAATACAGAGATGAAATCTACAAGACAAATGAGCAGGCAAACTAAAAGGTCTTGAAAGTATTTTACTTCAAATTGAAAAATGAACAGTTCAACTGTTCTGTTTAAATAAAGATTTGCAAGATATACAGTATTTTATTAATACAATGCTGGTCACTTGAGGAAATGTAAAATACAATTTTTCCTTCATATTTTTTTTCTTTTAGAAAGATACTGTTTACCAAAAAGAAACTTGAGCAGTTCAGGAAAAGCTATTTTCCATTAAATTTATGAAAACCATAAACTGAGGCAAAGCTAAGATTCTCAATGGAATCAAGATTATCTTCCCACTACCACCACCTTAAAATTATTACATGCTTATTGGAACACTAATATCTGCACCCTAAGAGTACATTTGCTTTCAACAATGAGGGCGATTCTTTTAAAAACACTTCAGTGTGGGAAATGCAATACAGATCTTTGCAAGTATTAAGTTTTAGAACAGTTTTGCTAATAGCAGCTAACAATACTGGATTAATATAATTTATAAATAATTTTTCCCTAAGCAGTGAATAGAAGTCTACACATTCACAAGAATCTAAAACAATACTGTGATTATGCATAATGTGGTACAACTTTTACTAGTTTCTATAAACAAAAGCTGAGCATCTTGTTGATAAAATTATATGATCAAATTAAAATATGAATCAAAATTTTTTTAAAAGAACACCAAACCATTGTCAAATTAATGTCACTTATAAGCTTAGTGTTTGACTAAATGTTATGATTTTCCATTTTTTTTGAATACATATATTTTCCTTTTTGAAGTAAACCACTTTAGCACATTGAAAATGTTTATTAAGTGATGACATCAGTTCTGGTCTTATTTTAGCATTATTTTATTTTAAAAATCACTGCACTCATTAGTGCCCATTAAGGGTCATGTTGGCCTGTAGTATTCTGTAAATGCATAATATAAAACATTTCTAAAAGCTCATAGTACTTTTTATAAAAGCATCATCTCCAGAACAGCTGCATTAAATACAGCCATGTATGCTGAGTGCACACCTTCCTCTTTAAAGAAGTATGTGAAAGTAAATGCCACTTTCCTCTACTGAAGTGTCCCAACTCCTGTGCCAAGCTATCTATGCCTGTGTGTGAGGGCAATTACACACTTCATTCACATTCATGGCATCAGTTACTGCAACCTAGACTTGTAATGCAACTGAACTGGACAAATGCAGAGCTGAAATTAAATGATAACTAGCTCAACAAGAAATACTATGAGATACAAAAGGTTTGGGTCTTTAAGGCAGTACAAAATATATTTTATTATTTGAAGTAGGTTTTTTTTTAAATAATTAAGTGTAAATATGAAAATGCCTCAGAAGGGAGTGAGAAAAAATACTTTAATTGTAAAATTTACTTAACGTTTCAACAGTTATCTCCTACAGGAGTTAGCAAAAATACAAAACACAAAAAGCCCCATACCTGGAAGGGGGAGTGGAAGGCACAAAGAGGAACGGGATTAAAGCAGCCCAGGAATGCAAATGTCTAACAAATCTAGTTGTCCTTTGTGGGTTTTTTTAAACAAACAAACAAGAATAAAACAATCACCACCACCAACCAAACAGCACCACCACCCCCCCAAGTGGCTTTATATTTCTTTAAAAAAAGAGAGAGGGTTGGGGAGAGACCACTAAGGGGCGGAAAAGAAGGATGCAACTATAAAACCCCATTGCCTGATATCATAGAATAGTTAGGGTTGGAAAGGACCTTAAGATCACCTAGTTCCAACCCCCCACTGCCATAGGTAGGGACACCACACACTAAACCATGTCATCCAAGACTCCATCCAAATGATGTCATTCTAGAAAACAAGGTGAAGGTTACTTCTCCAAGATGACAAACTCAGTGTCTTCACAAAGTACATGTACACTTCATTTGTCACCATAAGCCTTTCTTGCAGAGGAACAGCTTTTGCAGATCAAATGTTCTATTAAATGGTTTAAATGCCAAGAAAAGAAATTCTGAGCAATATAACAAGTAATGTCTCTTTATATGAATGTTAAGATAACAATTCAGATTATTTTCCAAACTAATCCTGAGAAAAATTTATGTTTACAATTTAAACAGTAATGCTATATAAAAAGTATTAACAAATCCACTATTACAAATGTCAGTTTTCCTATATGGTTATGTATACCTACACAATAAAATGGTAAGCATATGCAAAAATAATAAGAAAATCATGCACAAATTACTTTCACCTTTAAAGGATGGGTTTCACTCAAAATACAACTTTTTGCCTTTTTTCCCCCCTATTTTGTGTGTTTTATTTGTTTGTTACCAACCCCTAGACACACTGAGTACTACCTCTACAGGTCAGCATGAGCTGGTGGGAAATATATTTATTTTACATTGAAGCATTTATATCTTAAATGACCCTGTTTTAGCATATGACTTATTAAATGAGTAGCCTTTTCCTCTTTGTTGTTTTTATATTTTTCTTTTTTTTTTCTTTTTAGCATTTTTTGCAGTGATCAGTCTTCATGATCTGTTCTCTGGTGAGCTGGGAAAAAAAATTGCAGTTGCTAATCAGCAACAGTCTGAAGCTCTGGAAGAGATCCAAGGAGTCACTATCAAACTATCCTGTAGCATGAGATCATTGCACACAGAAAGGCAGTCATAAAATAGGCAACTATCTACAAAGGTCTGAAAGGGCTGCATCCCTCTTGTGCTTCCTCTTTTTGCCATGGAAGAAGTGATGGTGTGATTTGCTGCCTTGATGTTTGTTTGTGACTGAGGTACTGTGGCTTGAGTTTATTGGACCTTGGAAGCCTTTGTTAGAAGAGCAAAATAACCATGCAGATCCATGCTGTGAAATAAGGAGAACATGGTAAATCAGCGCTAAAAGGAAAAAAAGTGTGGCAACTACACAACCCTATTTCTGGATAATGAGGACGTTAACTCATGAAAGCATTACACTTGAAACAACTGATACAGCAACAGAAGCCAGGACAGCACAGTACCACAAATCTTTCACTTTGGTGGTTGCAAACAAATGCTCATCTCTAGACCCAAATCCATGCAGGTCAAGAAAGAAGAGCAGAGCATTTTGAATTTTGGAAAGGATCGAACTGTTCTGTTGCTCCGATTTTGCAATGATCAAAAAATGGTTTACAGAAGCAGACCACCACAATCCAAGACAACAGATGAAGACTAATCAAATCTCATCTTCTGTGCAAAATTATGACAAGATTCTTTTAAGGCCAGGACTAATTTTATACCACATCTTTTTACAGATGTAGAGTATCTCAGATCGTGCATTTGCACATTCCAGCACCAGAATTAGCTCTGTGTAGTAACACAAACACACATTCATGGTATATCCAAGGCCTAGCTTGTAAACTCAGTACTAGCTAGAGAGAGACTGTCAGCAAGTAGGAGGAAAGTCTCCAGCACTACTTTTCAGGAGTAATATTCCAGAAGATTCCAGACTATTTTCCATATATTAAAGAAGTCTTAAATTCTGAAAAATTATAAAAATGTAAACTGCATGTATCCAAAGTATATTCTATATAGAGGCATATAGTATTTCCAGATCACTGATTTGTCATAGAAGCATTCCTCAAAATGAGAAATCCCTTAAATGCATGAGCTCTGGTAGGCCTCATCATAAAGATATTTGTATTTAGGGGGAAAAAAGAGGGAATTTTATATATCAGCAAGCAATCTTCATTGCCCTTAATGAAAGACAGTTCAGCAAGTACTAACAGCTATCAGCTGCCAGTCATGTTTGAAACATACAATTTTACTAACTGTCTTTCACTAAGTGTAGGCATGTCTCTTTAGTTCTCAAATTCTGCTGTCACGACTGGACTGATATGCTTTCTATACAAAGGAAATGGGTGCAGCACATCTGTATGCTTCTGGCAACTTTAGGTTTCCCAAAATAAAGTCAATCTTATTTCATCTAGTTTAAGGCTGGGAAAGCCCCTGCTGCAAAGTCCTCTGTGTAAACTAAACAGTTTATACTTTTAATCTTTTTAGTGGAATGAAGGGAAGGTCAAAAACAGTGTTTCCTTTCCAGAACAAGCTACTCTTCCATGAAGGACATGCAATATTTAAATGATCTATACAGCTGTTGTCTCCAAACATTTCACAAACCTGAGATTTGTTCATGTTGCTGGAAGTATTGGCTGTTTGGCTATTTTGTGTTTTCCCACTTGACTGGGAAGATTCCAGTGACACTTCTTGTGACCCCACTCTGGTTTTGGTAGACTGACGACAACTCAACTGTTTAGAGGTTTTGCACGGTGTTCCATCAGAATCCTTCAGGAAAATGTAAAGTATTAGTGAGTGTTTCTATTAGTGAGTTTTCCAATAAAGCTAGCAGTAGACAAAAATTCAAATGTGTTTATTTTATTAGATACTAAAATTCTTTCAATCTTACTGAGTAAAACAGATTTAAAAATGTATTGATGCATGATTCTGATTTTGGGATTTAGCTTTTGGTTTTAAATAAAATTCCCAAACATTGTTTAAGGCTTTTTTTTTTTTAAACACAGTTTTCTCAGAGAAAAAGAGGGCTATGTAACTCTATCTGCTGCATTCACTTTATACATGTGTTGTGTCAAAAACACACTGCAACTTACATGTGTAGAAATTGCATAAGAGGTAACATCTTATGCAAGTTAGGATTCTGGATGAAATAACTAACTAGGATTCCAAGCTTTCAAAATGTATTCTGTGGAAGTAAAGATCAGGAAAAAAAAACAACCACCCACCCCCTCCCCCCCCCCAAAAAAAAAAACACCAAAAAGACCCCACAAAACAAAACAAAAAAATCAGAAAACCACCAGTACTTACTACATCACTACAGCTGGACAGTGTAGAGGATGATGATGAAGGACCTGATGAAGAATTTGAAGAATGTTTACTAAGTATTTCTGAAGTTTTATTTCTAGGTTTTGATAGTGCTTCATCCTCTTCAGCAAGATTATTGTTGCATTTGTCTAGCTGCTGAGTATCTACTATCAAGGTTACTCCATTACCTATTAAAAAGCAAAATGGAAGCATCACCACACAGTAACTACTAAAATATGTTGCTTTTTTTTAATATATCCCCTCAGGTATTATATATCTATTATATCCAGCAGGACATGTAGAGACATCTGCACATGTACATACTTTTAATACATGCAGACATGTTTTGTATGCATGTACTGCCTGCAGCAAGCCAACAACTCACAGATGGTGCAGTGGTTTCCCAAGAAGATCCATTAACATAAACTGTGGAAACCACCAAGCATTACCAACAGTTCAAGCTGGAAATTAGAGAGATAAAGAGATGGAAGAAGGTAGTAACAAAGTTCAGATGTGCTGCGTGATGAGACTGATTCATGACACACTTCAACAGCACTCAGTTAGGTTTAAATTCCTTTCCTATGTGCCCAGTACTCAGCAGCTCCCATTTTTCTTCTACTGGAGCTGCTAAGTGTCATAAGAACTTCAAATAAGCCTGGTTGCTTATTTGAAGCAACCCTACACTGAAAATACGAGATACAGAACTCTCATATCTCACTAACTTCTACCTTAAGTATAAAAAGGAAAAATCAGAACTTAAATCTAAAATAAACCTACAAGACAACTACTGTAACTGCCACCATTATCTTCCTGATACAGGGTTATTTTATTACTGTTTTATCTTACGTAAGACTCCCAGGAGTTACCTCTGATTTACACAGCATACACTTGCTGCCTCACTAGCTGTGTTTGCATACGGAGGTTAATACATAGATCACATCAGGTAGCCAAGTGTTACTCTGGAGCTTGTGGGACTGAACAGTGGTTGTCTGCCATGACCAGGTTGTACAGCAGTGCCACAAGGGTCTGCAGACTGATAAAACACAAATGGTCCAGGAGCACATTCAATTTACAAGGACAGTGAGGGAAATCACTAACAAAAGCTTTAAAAAAATAAACAAAATCCCATCCTAGCCTAAAGACTTGGTAGTTGTGTCATCATCTCTCCTTAACCCCGAACAAAAGAAGACTTCTAGAAGGCAACCTTCTAAAATTAACTGGAGGTGTTAGAATTCATTTTACTTTTAAAACTTCCAGACAGCAGATACACCTACACCAAAAGAGGCTGGCGACTGGCTGGTGAAGTCAGAAGATGGGCAATGAAAACAAATAATATATGCTGGCCACATCTACTGCAGTAGAATAAAGATAGACATGGTATGGCCTTTTTACTCTTATACAAATCTACATCTTCTGGATAAGAACAATAGGAAAAGCAAAAAAGTGAATTCATATTAAAATGCATGCATTGCCTCATGTGAGGCAAAAGCAACAGCAAAATCTGATCAAAACATGCAGGAAGCTTCCCACTATCAGCCATGCTTAGTCAAAACTTACCGTTACATGAAGACTCCGCCCTACTTTGCATTCCCCACTGCTTTGATATCCACTCTCTGTATGCGGCCACCTCTTGTGTTACTCTAATTATTCTACCTAATATACTGTAAAAGAGGGAAAAGAATAAAAAAAAAACATGATTAATTTTTAGACACACAAAAATATAAGCAAGTTCTATCTGAGATTTAGACTCATAAAATTTACCTTTCCATTTCGTTGTTAGGGTAATATTTAGCTATTGGGGAAACTGCATGGCTCAAAACAACATAGGCATAATCAAAAGCCTGTTTCACTTGCATGGCACCATAGGAACTCCTCCCAACATCATTACCTTAAAGTAAGAATACAATTAAATAAATAAATAAGATTGAAACTGTAGTTATCTCCTTTCAGACAAGAGACAGTGATATTTTTTAAAAATTACCCTTACGTCCCAACTCACTGCAGTTACCTCTTGTAGAATAGGACTACTGGAGCATAGATATTCAAAAGAGCTTTTTTTTAATATAGATATTTATATGCACAGAGGTTCAAAACAGCAATTCTCTGGGTAAAAGCGCAATACATGAATCAAAAAATAAGAAAACATAAAATCCTGCACTGCTTATATCACACATGTAACAGGACTGTCCTGGATAACATTTTTCTAGATCAGAAATACATTAACTCTTTCAGCAGCACTTGACTCGCCATTCCAGAAGCCACCCCACTGAAGCCAACAGTCAACCTTAACATAAAGGTAATAGTACAGAATGAAGCCACTATGGATTTATGTAGCACTTACATGTAGCACTTATGTAGCACAGGCACACTCTGGGCTGACATGGTAATTTACTAAGAACGTGTCTTAAAGAACACTGTTGTGTTCTGAGTGCATCTTGTGTTCAAAGACACGAATGAGGTGTTTCTGTTTGGGTTTTGGTGGTCATTCTACTATTCTACTATCCTGAGATTTAACTCCTCTAGATTAAGCATTCCCATAATTTTTGTATGTTAAGTGTTGGTTTATGAGGATACCTGGCTGTAATGGATCTTCAATATACAGCATTGATGGTCTGTAGCCATCCAGCATGCTTTTTTGCACTTCATCTTTGGCAACGTAAGAGCCACCATCCTTTATTCGGATTCCAGTCTTCAGATAATTGAAGTGACGTCCATATAATTCAAAAAACTCTATTAAAAGAACACCATAGTTGGCATTGGTCATACAGGCATCTTCCCTGGGATGTAGCTATTGAGAAGAGAGAAAAAAAAATAATAATTTTCTTAAGACTTCAAGTTTCAAGTACCTTTAAGTGCCTTTGCTTTTTCACAGCAAGCATGTCTAAATACAATTAAAAATAATAAACCAGAATATATAAAGCAAACTTGTCTAAATATATTTTCCTTGATAAAGAAGTTTTAAATCTTTAAAACAAGATGCTATAAAAACTTTTATAAACTAATACCTCTTAAAAATAAGGCTATCAAGTATTAATGTTTCTGTATTTGAACTTTCAGTTCAGTAAGTGACCTTCCAGCACTAATGGTGCATAAATATATATCCACACTTCACAAACCTGGGTTTGGAATACAAATACAGGCTTCTAACATTCACAGCTATGTAAATGATCCCCTATGCTTTTAAGATGCAACCTGAGAGATGATGAACAAAACCAGTTCATAATTTAAACAGATACAAAACCTAACTGCTTCTTCTGCAGAGCAAATGGAGATGCTATTAGTCAATATAAGAAAAATTGGGGTTGGAAGAGACTGAGATTTTAGTTTCTTTCAAAAAGATATGCCTGTTGTCTTCATTTCTTTTGTGCTCAGCAAGCAACTGCACTAGCACTCAGCAAACACCAAGCTCCAGCTCAAGGTTCAGGTTTAAAAGTAACTACAGTCTGAAAAGTACAGACATACAAATGCACACGCAGTTACACAATGACATTTGGTACAAGAAAATAAATGAATCTGATAAAGCCAAAACCTGGCTACTGCATATTTCTACAATATTTTTCTCCCCCAGGCACAACAATATAAATTTAGTTCATGCATTTTGTTCTCTTAGATTTAAGAGAAAGTTGTAAAATGTGTTTGATTTCAGCTTAAAACCCTAGACAAAATAGTAAAATTCCACTGCATTCATTAAAGCACATCCAGGGTGTCAGACCTGGAAAATAAGTCTTATAAAGGACAGCTGCATCTAACTAGCTTGCTCCAAATAAACCATACAATAGTCAAGTTATTTTACCATGAATGACACTTGTGCCTGGTACCGATACACTAACAGATGTTCCAAACACCTCTAATACCGAAAGTGCCAGTATCAGAAAAAGAACAGAAGACAGGTGGGATGTTGTCTGTTTTTAAATGAAAAGAGGGTGCAAAACCACAAACAGGAGCACTTAGATGACTAAATTTAAGGACTGATCAAATTCTTTCTTAATATAACATCCTTTTTCACCAATGGCATCAATAGATTTCATTAAGCTTACCTGAAGGAAGCTGACAGCCATTAAAAAAAGACTGTAAGAACCGATTCCACCTGTAAATACTTCATTAAGGTCCCTCTGTAACAGGAACTGTTTCAATACTAAAACTAGATATGGTAACACGGGGTATTTCTGAAAGAGAAAAGCAAAGGTGTTAGGACACTGTGATGCATACCTACAGCTGATACTAAGAAAGCACGCTAAAGCAATCTATCTGTTATATTACATCTCAAAGCTAAGTATAATTCTAATTTATTACTTTTAATACCAGGGGAGAAGCTAACTGTTCTGCCTGTGGTCAATACAGGTATTTTACCTCTTCAACTCCAGTGGCAGATATTAAAAATAGAAAAAAAAGTTACTACCTCATAAAATCAGAATTATTTTGTTTGAATACATAAATATATTTGATTTTCTCATACAAGTGAAAAGGAAGAACTGTGGAGATATCCATGTCTGTAACAAAACCTTCCTGCCGCAACCAAGCTGATATCCCACAGCGGGCTGAAAATTATGTCTTGAAAATTCTTCAGATGCCCAGAGTTGAAAACAGTTCTTCAATATTACTACACCCAGATAACACTTTTGAAGAAGCCAAATACTTACTTTTGGGTACCTGGTCCTTCAATAGATTTGTCAGCATGGATTTCCTTAGAAGTGTACATACACTGCACGTGCAGAGAACACGAATCTTTTGGACAGCAGTGGAGGCTGGGGCTACGCCTGCACTCTGAACACCCCTTCACAGGGCAGGGGGCAAAAGAGGCTCAATAACATCAATACAGAACCAAGGCCCTTACTTTCAGAAACGTGGATCATGGTATCTATGATTGCAAAATATTAAAGGGAAATTGAGAATTTTTCCAAGAACTTCTCTGCACAAGTCTTAGTGTATCAGGAGCCCTATTTAACCTAAGATCCCAAGATCACTTTTTTGAACTATTAAGAACTTAAGAGTTACAAGGTAGAGTGTTGACTATCTGTCTATACCAAAATTCAAAGATGGGATTTTTCTCAGGAAACTGCAAATCCTTAATTAAGGCATCAGCTGCCTCAAACTTCCAAATAAATTGAATTAACAGAAATAGGCATTTTCCAAGGATAATAATGAGCATGACACCCCCATTAGGTAATTCAAAGTTATGTGGGTCAAAATAAGACCCAAGACAATGCCCTGCAAGTGTTTCATAGAAAGATCCTCAAGAACACCATTACCAGTGTGTGCCAGGGCTGAGTGCCACCTCTGCCTGCCACACCAGGCTCGGCCACCTGCACTCAAGGCCAGCACTGGTGTGGCACAGCTGCACAGCCTTGGCTTGGGCTGCTGGGAAAACAGCCCTGTGGGAAAGCGCCATGTGGGAAGGCTTGTGGGGAATCCCTCCACCTCTCTCAAGAGCTGCTTTCATCTCCATTGCTCCCCTGGTGTCTGCCTGAGCCACGCTGCTGTCCAATGATGTTGATCCTGACACTAACAACTGACACAGCATCCTCAGCCTCAACCTCCTCACAGGGAAACGGTCTTCCAGCTGCTGGATGGCCTGTAAGCTGACGCCGACTACTGTCACCAGACCTGCTCTGAGCCTCAGGTCGGAGTCCCATGGGTCTGCACCCCCACCCCATGCCTGCCTGGCTGCCACACACAACTCCCACTACCACCTTAGGAGAACAGCCTGCTCTCACCATGCCCTGACCCAAGGCCAAAGGGTTCAGCTAAAGCAGTCAATTTTCTCCATCTTAGTAGCTGGTGCAGTGCTGTGGTTTTGACTTTCAGCCTGTGAACAATGCTGACAAAATTGATGTTTTCAGTTGTTGCTAAGTAATGCTTACTCCAATCAAGGATTATCTCAGTCTCATGCTCTGCCGGGGAGGAGGGGAAGCCAGGAGGAAGCAGACAGGGGACACCTGATCCAAACTAGGAAAAGGGGTATTCCATACCAACGCATGTCATGCCCAGTATATAAACTGGGGGAAGATACCCAGAAGGCCCAGATCGTGGCTTGGGTCAGGCTGGGCATTGGTTGGAAGGTGGTGAGCAATTGTGTTCCCTTCCTTTGTAATTTCCCTTATCATTATTACTATCGGTGGTACCAGTAGTGGTTTTGTGTTATACCTTAGTTATTGGACTGCTCTTATCTCAACCTGTGGGAGTTACATTCTTTTGATTCTCCTCCCCATCCCCCTCAAGGAGCGGGAGGAGGAATGGGGGGGAGTGAGTGAGCGGCTGTGTGTTTCAGAGTTATTAGCCGTGCATAAACCATGACACTCTCCAAGCGGTTACAGATAACCTAAGCAACAGGTGCATGCTAACGCGCTTTTTTTTCTAAGCACACAAAAATGGTGTCAGGCTCTCAATAGAAGACTACCTCCTATCCCAAAATTAGAATCAGAGAATCATAGAACGGTTAGGGTTGGAAAGGACCTTAAGATCATCAAGTTCCAACCCCCCTGCCATGGGCAGGGACACTTCACACTAAACCATATCACCCAAAGCCTCGTCCAACCTGGTCTTGAATACTGCCAGGGATGGAGCATTCACAACCTCCATGGGCAACCTATTCCAGTGCCTCACCACCTTCACAGTAAAGAACTTCTTCCTTATATCTAACTTAACTTCCCCTGCTTTAGTTTAAACCCATTTCCCCTTGTCCTATTGCTACAGTCCCTGATGAGGAGTCACTCTCCAGCATCCCTATAGGCCGCCTTCAGATACTGGAAGGCTGCTATGAGGTCTCCACGCAGCCTTCTCTCCTCCAGGATGAACAGCCCCAACTTTCTCAGCCTGTCTTCGTACGGGAGGTGCTCCTGCCCCCTGATCATCCTCGTGGCCCTCCTCTGGACTTGTTCCAACAGTTCCGTGTCCTTCTTATGTTGAGGACACCAGAACTGCACACAATACTCCAAGCGGGGTCTCACGAGAGTAGAAGAGAGGGGCAGGATCACCTCCTTCGACCTGCTGGTCACGCTCCTTCTGATGCAGCCCAGGATATGGTTGGCTTTCTGGGCTGCAAGCACACAGTGAATCCGGCTCATGTTCGTTTTCTCATCAACCAACACCCCCAAGTCCTTCTCCACAGGGCTGCTCTGAATCTCTTCTCTGCCCAACCTGTAGCTCTGTCTGGGACTGCCCTGATGCAGGTCTAGGACCTTGCACTTGTCATGGTTAAACTTCATAAGGTTGTGTCCTGGGTTCAGCAGGAGCAGTCATTCTTTTTCTCCTTCTTAGTAGCTGGTGCGGTGCTGTGTTTTTTGACTTTCAGCCTGGGAACAGCGCTGATAACACCAATCTTTTTAGTTACTTCTCAAATGTTTAGTCTGACCAAGGACTTTGTGAGTCTCATGCTCTGTCAGGGAGGAGGGGAAGCTGGGAGCAAGCTGAGACAGGACAACTGACCCAAACGAGCCAAAGAGGTATTCCATACCACAGCACGTCATGCCCAGGATGTAAATGGGAGTTACCCGGAAGGTAACTGCTCAGTCAGGCTGGGCTTCCATGAGTGGTATTGTATTCTCTTCCCTTGTTATTTTCCTTATCATTATTATTAATGGTGGTAGCAGTAGTGGTTTGTGTTATACCTTAGTTACTGGGCTGTTCTTATCTGAACCCGTGGGAGTTAAATTCTTTTGAGTCTCCTCCCTGTACCTCTAGGAGCGGGGGGGGGGGGGGGGGGGAGGGAAGACTGCGTGCCTTGGATTTACGGCCTGGGCTTGAACCATGACAGGTTGGCATTGGCCCGTATCACAAGTGTGTCAAGGTCCCTCTGGATGGCATTCCTTCCCTCCAGTGTATCAAATGAACCATACAGCTAGGTGTCCTTTGGATACCCTTGAGACCTGCCTGCTGATTGTGATGGGGATCACCATGTTGGCACACATAGAGTGTTTCTTTCCCACAACCATTTTGTCTGATCTCAAAAGTTAAACAGAACTGGGTTTGGGTCTGGTCTAGGGTTAGATGACGATATAGGAGGACCACCAAAAGATTTTCCTGAGGCTGGACAGTCATGAGTGGCAGGGTGTGTGGGATAGTATGGGCAAGTATCTAGGCCAGTGGGCCCCTCCAGTGCTTTGGAACTTCACCACTGAACAAGTGCAAAATCCAGAAAAATTGGTAAAACACTCAAATGAGGTGTGTTGTCATCCTGATCATACCAGAAAGGGACAAATCCTGGCAACGTGCTGGGGCTAGGCCTACGCCTCCAGAGCCCTGTTCAACACTATCCAGCACCTTCAAAGGGAAAAAAATGTCTTTGGATCTGATGGCAAAGCAACAGATAACGCAGCTACTCCTACTCCAAATACAGCAAGTACACCAACCCCAATGACAAGTACAGCAGCTACTCAAACTCTGACAGCAACAGACACGGCAGCTACTCCAGCTCCAAGCACAGCAGCTACACCAGCCCCAGTGACAAGCCCAGCAGCTACTCAAACTCTGACTACAACAGACAACGAAGCTACTCCAACTACAAGTACAGCAACTACACGAACCCCAGCAACAAGTACAGCAGCTACAAAAACCCCGATAGCAACAGACAGCGCAGCTACTCCAGCTCCAAGCACAGCAGCTACACTAGCCCCAGTGACAAGCATCACAGCTCCTCAAACTCTGACTACAACAGACAACACAGCTAATCCAATCCCAAGCACAGCGGCTGCACCAACCCTGACAACAGATAGTGCAGCCACTCCAACCACAATGATATTCACGGCAGCTAAACTAGAGGACCAGTTCGTGCCAATATCGGTTGCCCTTGTACGCAAGGGGAAAAGCAAAAAAGAGGCACAAAGAGCAACCCGTACAGTGAAGAAAGATGAAGAACCAATGCACTTACTGCACGGGACTGAATAAGAACAAGAGCTATTATTACGTGAATCAGAGGAAGAGGAAGAAGAAAAGGTGACTTCTTGACCCCAGACTTCAACCAAGCTATGAAAGATGCGAAAAGATTTTACCCGCCATCCAGGGGAGCACATCACCACCTGGTTGCTCCTATGCTGGGACAATGGGACCGACAGTCACGAACTAGAAGGTACAGAAGCCAAGCAGCTGGGATCACTTGCTAGGGAAGGGGGAATTGAAAAAGCAATTGCAAAAGAGAAATGGTCTCTCAGCCTCTGAAGGCAACTATTGGCAGCTGTGAAAGAAAGGTTTCTGTACAAGGACGATGTTATGAGCCATTCGGCCAAGTGGACTACACTAGAGAAAGGCATCCAGTCTCTGAGGGAATCAGCCATTGTAGAGATGATCTATCAAAGGCCGGATGCCGGGAATGCACCCAGAGATCCAGATGAAGTCAAATGTACACAACCCATGCGGCGCAAATTTACACAAAATGCACCGTCATCATATGCCCACTCATTGGCATCAATAACTTGGCATGACGTAGCACCGCCAAGAGTGGATGAAGTGATTCTTCAACTCCGACAGTTCGAAGATAATCTCACCCCTTCCATCATTTCAGCCGTGGAAAAACTGTCTCAGGAGTTCAAACAATTGAGAGATGATTTCTCCAATCTATCCATCTCCCCATGTGTACCAACACGTCTCAGCTATTAACAAAAGGCATCTTAGTGCTTGAGAGAAAAGATATAAGAGGTACAAGACACAGGCTACCCCATGACTGTCCAGCTTCAGGGAAAATCTTTGTGGTCCTCCTGTATGATCGTCTAACCCAAGACCAGACCCAAACCCCAACCTGCTTAACTTTTGAGATCAGAAGAAATGAGCCATGCCCAGCGTGGTATGGGTGCGGGTAAAACACACTCTGTATGTATGCCAACATGCTGATCCCCTTCACAACTAGCCACAGAACTAGCATCAATATTATATTAGATCTTGACAAAAGCATAAAGGCATCACAAAGCTAAGAATGTAATAGTAACTATTATTACTATTTTCAATACAGGATAATAATAAAAGCATCCTCTGTAAAACTGTTTGGGTTCAGTCAAACCAGGATTTATTTGTCCACCAGAAATATCTGAAAAGTGCTTCTCCACAATCAAACAACCACTGATGGGTTCGGAAAAAAAATAAATGTCCTTCCACATTTTCAAACAAAACAGTATGCTCAGCTGAACAGCAAAGAGAGCCTTTACTGAATAAACAATCCTGAAAATATTCATAAACTGATACAACATATGACCTTTACAGAAAGGAATGAGACAATATCTGCTGTTGTACAATAATTTGGAATATGAGAAACACTGAATTATTATAAAAGAAACCCACACTTCAATCCCTCTCTCATCAAATCTGGAAAGATGGACGAGGAAGAGTGAGGAAATCGGAACAGAACCATTAAAGGATTTTGATTTATAGAACTGGAATTTAAACTGTTGAAGCTCCGGAGCCATGTACATATTTAAAGTATCCCAAATACAGGACACTATCGTGACTTGAGAAATCTGAGACTTAGTTTTGTAGTGTGCCAACGCTGCCACTTATGGTTTTATTCTATGTGGACAGAGATATGTATTTGCATTCATAAGATAACTTAAGACTTCACAGTACTGTAATGGACTCCTACTCCTGTATGTTATTGTTACTATTTATCCTACATTTCTTCAAACTTACTCGCTTTCCTAACCTCGTCCCTAGCTTCCTGGACAACATCCCTGTATCCTTCCCAGGCCGCCTGTCCTTGTTTCCACCTTTTATAAGCTGCTTTTTTTCCCCTCTAAGTTTTCTCAGCATCCATGGAGGTCTCCTGGCCCTCCTGCCACATTTCCTTCTAGTCGGAACACAACACTCCTAAGCTTAGAGCAGATCCTTGAATATCAGCCAGCAGTCTTGGGCCCCTCTGTCCTCTAGGGCTATATCCCATGGAACCTTATTAAGCAGGTTTCTGAAGAGGCCAAAGTCTGCTCTCTTGAAGTCCAGGGCAGTGAGCTTGCTGCACGCTCTTCTCACTGTCCTAAGGATCTCAAACTTGACCATCTCATAAACGTTACAGCCAAAGCTGCCCTGGCGCATCACATTCCCTAACAGCCCCTCCCTGTTGGTGAGCACAAGGTCAAGCATGGCACCTCTCCTTATTAGCTCCTCTATTACTTGCAGAAGGAAGTTGTCTTCCACACGATTGAGGAACCTCCTCAATTTCTTGTGCCAGGCCGTACCATGCCTCCAACAGATATGGGGGTGGTTGAAGTCCCCCATGAGGACAAGGGCCTTTGAGCATGAGGCTGCTCCTATCTGTCTATAGAGTGCTTCATCCACACAGTCCTTGTGATCGGTTGGCCTGTAGCAGATCCCCACTATAATGTCCCCCATCGCAGTTCTCCCTTTGACCCTAACCCACAAGATCTCTGTTGACCCATCACTTGTCCCCAGACAGAGTTCCATACTCTCTAGCCTATCATTAACATAAATAGCTACTCCCCCCTCCTCGTCTGCCTGGCCTGTCTTTCCTAAAGAGCCTATAACCTTCCATTTCAACACTCCAGTCATAAATCAAGAAGCACATAGTCAATTTTGGGCAAGCAGGCAGGGCCTTATGGACTTACCTAAAGAGAAATGTGTATGCAGAATCTAACTGAAATACAGCCCTTGTGTTGTGGCAGAAAACCAAATACAGATTGCCTGTCCACCACAAGGCAATGTGACAATGCACAGTATGCAAAAACTGAAGTTAGCTGCCAAATTCCAAGTACGTGTCCTGAGACAGAGAATCTGGGCATCTTCTTTCACCAACAAGAAGCTACACAGCACAAAACTATCGGTCTTGATTTAGCAGCAAAAGGCTGCCCAACACAATCAACTTCTGTTCATCAGATAGAGACTGAGAAAAGGAAGGTCTCTGAACCCACCCCACCCTCTTAATGTGAATGCAGGTGCAGGAGGCCTCATCAACACAAGGTTTATATATAAGCACACAGGTGAGACTATGCAGACAAGAACTCAGATTATTCTACTGAAACTAAGGACAGAAGTTTTTCTTCTGTGTCTTTCTACAGGTTAAAGAAATAAGACACTGTAGAAGCAAACCGAGCTAATTTCATACCTGCTACTAAACATACATAAGGGAACTGAAGATTAACAAGGTGAAGTCCATACTTTCAACTCATCAGCAACTGAAAATCCCCCCAAATTTAGAAGACCTCCTGCAACTCAATGACATTATTAAACCAGATGTACGTGATTTCTAACCCTTATGACTGAAAGTGAAGTGCTTGCTTTATTCAGTTTTATGAAGGAGTTTTACATGTTTAGCTATTGAAATACTTTGATTCTCCTGCTGTCATTAGTTTTGTTAAAAACCCCAAGCAGTCAGTAGTAGAACAGTAATACCTACACACTTAAGTGAGACTGAACTGCACTTCATCCCCCTACACAGAACATAAAAACAGAAGAAAAATTTTCTACTGCTTCTATGAGACATTTGCTATGAGTGTCCCAATGCACTGAATAGGGGAAGGGAAGGAAAGGAAAATAGTGTAAGGATCCTTCAAAACTTTAAATACACATTAATCCTAACAAAATGACCCCATATACTAAACAAAACCAACTGTAATGTATCTATCAAACAGGTATTGGTGAAACCCTGAACAATAACTTACTAAATTTAACTTATTCTACCTTATTAGCATTTGTATGCTGAAATAATATTCATTCTAGAACAAGATTAATCCTACTCTCTCAGCAATGTGTGGTTATTACTAATTTTAAGTTCAAGGAGCCACAGGTAGAGCAGAACATTTTAGACAGGTATTAGTGCATTCTCTTTAGTACCATTAAAGAACTGTACCATTAAAACTTCTCAATACTTCATACATTGCTATTTTCGTGTCTTTCAGGGCAAAATATCTAAAACCTAAGAACATCATGGAGTAGCAGTAGACAACAAAAATAACAGAGTGAAAGTGTATCTCTAGTCAGGATGCAGTCAAAGTAAAATATAAAATCAAATCATCAAATATTCAGCTCTAGCTCTATTACAGTGTTGCCTAACCTTGATAAAATCTTTGATGAGCTGGGCTGCTTTAACCCCGTTCTGTACATTAAAGCTTATATCAACTTTTACTTCAGTGAAGCAATCTGTCAGTTTAATAATAGGTACCTGCAAAAGAAAGACAGGTTAAGTCAATACAGATTTCCAAGAGACATTTGGTTTCATTCATACTTATATGCACCAGTAAAACTGAAACGTTTTATGACTTTGTTGAGAGAAAACAGTACTCCTATTTATTTAAGAACGCACTCTCCTTGCCAATCTGTTTACATCAACTTTGCTTTTCTAACTCATAAATGCCATTTTCAATTTACTATCCTGTTTAACAGAACTTAACACTAATCTTCAAAGTGATTCCTTTTAAATTGTTTTTAGTTGTCTCCTAGTGCAGCAGCACAGCTCTAGTGGGAAAAACAATCACCAGAGGGAGACAAACGCTTAAGAAATTAAGATCAATGGTAATAGATACTCAAGAAAATACACACTCCTGTCATTGCGGGTCACTGATTCCTCATCAAAATCATCTTCAGACAAGAAGCACAAGTTACTGAGAACACTATGACATATCTCCACCTGAGTGGTTTCCAAATTACCTCTCTCTACTAATAATAGCCATCAATTAGACACCTGTTTAAGCCCCAACACACTTACATACTCTTACAATTAGCAGAAGGTAGGAAGTTATAATGGAATTTATCCTATCCTGTGCGAGGCATACCATTACATATTTATATAAGGCTGTACTTAGTACTTCTATGTGAAAATGTATTATGTCTGCTTACTTACAATAAGAAAAAATTACTTATGTAAAAACTGAGTCCAGAAATTCACAAGTTTGATCACATTAATTCACAACAATGACTAATATAATCTCACTTTAAAACAAGTGTATGTTGTGTAGCATGAACAATCAGATTATTTTCCCCAACAGAAGAAATGCTTCTGTTGCAGCACTATCAATTATTTTAGAGTAATAAAAACTGTAATAAATAAAAAAGTTCTAGCTTATATTTATATATAGTTTCTGCTTATGAAAATTCATCCTTTTAACCAAGATATTTTATTACACATTTAGCTTAGAACAAGGAAACACCTTCTTCCCCCAAACTTACAGTTGCTTTATCTAAAACCTTTACTGAGTTTTCATCTGCTACATTGTGCTTTCTAAGAGCTTCTTCCAGGGTCCAAAGAGGCAATGTCTCCCACTTTCCAAACACAACTAAATCAATATCACTGAAATAGAAAGAAAGCACAGATTTATTCAAATTAAAAGACCAATACACTTAAAAGATAAACAGCTGACATCCACACATAACCAAAATAAAGCTGACAGAATGTAACCAAATAATTTATTCTTAATTTTCTGAGGAAAGAGGTGGGGGATGAACTCTTACACCTGGGGAACTACAGAATATTTCAGATTACCAAGGGAGGGGACAGACACACACACACACACACATATACACACACACACACACACACCCCCCCCCCACTTGGGCTGCAAATCCCAAGATTAGTCTCCTCAGGCCACGCTGTCAGCAGAAATGGATCAGCTTCACCAGAGTGATTCTGAGCAAGAAAGTAACTTGTTGTGGAGCACCACCTTTGGGCTGTATTAATCAGTAACCCTGATTTAACAGCCTGTCACTGAAAGGGAAAGTCCTGGTCTCCATCCTCTGCTCCCAGATGCATGGCCCTGTCTCCTCCTTTGCTGCAGGTCTGGTGTTTGTCTAATCTACAGCAAATCAACTCAACATATTAATGGATGTGGCAAAAACCAACTCCCCACCCCTAAAAAAACCCAAAACATTGTGGGGTAATTTCCTGCCTCTTTGCATTTCAAAGTTGGGTTTCTGGGTGATCAGAGCACCAGCTAGCACATGGTAAGCAGCTGGTCTGTAGCGCCAAGAATAGGGAGCGGGGAAGGAGATCGGAAAATGTGGCAACTTTGACTTCAGGAAGCAACAAGCTGTTAAGCAAGGTCAAACTAATTAACTTCATTCATTAACTCAGCTCCTTGAAGAGGTGTCTCCATCCCTACACTTCCTCCCTATGCACATACACATTCTTCTGACTACAAAGGGATTTGACACCCTAATTCAGTGCCTAAACTCAAATCCAAAAGATGACTGGTGTCCAAACCAAAGCCAGTAAGGGCTACTGTGAGATCTTGAGCTCTTTCCTCTTTGCTCCCCAACTTCTTTGATTTTCCCTGCTTGGTTGGGTACACAAAGGAGACGAGCATATAACCCTGCAGCTATACGAGCAGACCAGTGGCACAGAAAACTGCAACAGGCAACACCAAAAAAATTAGGAATACTTTTCCTCCCAACAGATCCTACAGGTCTGCTGTTTCACAGACAACACTGCTTTAACAACCTCAAAGAAACCGAAATATCTCTTGCCAACAAGCAGTGTCAGCAGCAGTTCAGCTGCATGCCATTTAGCTGGCAAGGGTAGGCAGCACTCAGCCAGCTGCAGAAAACTATGTTAAAAACCTGCTTGGAGAGCAGGAAATGCTACTGGACACTTCTAAACTAAATTGGTGTTAAACCCACTACTGATGCTGAGAGTTAACAAGACACTCTTTTTTTTCTGATACACACCAAGAGAGAAAAAGTAGTTCTGTTGTCACCTTGAGTATAGATATTGCCTGAAAAATAACAGAGATGCAGCAGCTAAACAACCCTGTACCCAAACCTTCAATATCAGCTTAAGTAAAAGATTAGACAAAATATAACACAGAATAACAGAATAAAAAAAAACACACTGCAGGTCTTTCTGAATCCCAGAAACTGAAATCTAAATTAACTATACAGTTACTGACGGGTAGGGAAAACTTAGAGCAAAAGGAAGCTTGGATAGAAGGCAACAGTGAATTAATTACCCCCATGCAAACACTCATTATTTTGAAAGTATAGCAAGTACTGCCACAGGAAGGGTTTTGTTGGCTTATGTACTGTGTTTAAAAACACCTGCATTTTTTCTCCCCCCCAAAACTCTGCTGAGACAAGTATGGAGAAAAGGCAGTATATGAAATCAAATAGACAACAGCAAAGTGGTTTTGTTGCATCAGTTTCAAAATAATCAGTCATGTGGATAGGTATAGCTCTCTTGCATTATCAGCAACCCATCAAGTTTAATCAAGCCTATTTAAAATCAATGGAAAAAAAGCCAAAAATGAGGCATTGTGAAAACAATGTGTATTTGTACACCTTACTTCTGACTTTCCAAACAGAAACTGAGCAATTCAGTCTTCCTGCAACCCCTTAGACTAAAATGGGTATTAAAACATCTGTCAGATTCTTTTTTCAAAACTACATGAAATGATGACTTGGGTATCCGGCACTTGTAGTCAGTACTAAATACCAATTCCTCATGTTCCCAAAGTACAGAACTCAATTCAAGTGTTAACTTCAGGACTTATGCTATTTAAATGTGTTTGTCCCCTGCAGCCATTTAAGCCTTTCATTCTATTTCTATTTAACTGTCAAAAATACTTACAATTTCTACACAGAAGATACCAATGAAACTGAAAAATTACTTTATGAAAACTAGTAATAAATTTGGAAAAGGTAGATGATGGCTATTGTACAGATTTCACTAAAGAAGAGTGAAAGAAAAAAAGCGATTCTGTATGCAATCTTGTCTCTTCAGTGCTAAGATTATCATAAAGAAGGCAATGTTAAATGTTTCAATTTAATCACCTGTGGAGATAATTTTAGCTTTTCTTTTAAGGCCAAACTCTTATTTCGGTTCAGTCACTAAAGAAGCCAAGTCACAATACAAGCCTTTTTTGACAACATGGTATTTTTAGATCTTTTACTAATACATGCAAAAATCTATATAGCCACAGGTACTACAGTTAATAGTCTTAATTACTAATTTTTGTATACACTTTGCAGAGTACTAATAGCTTAACACTTTCTTAATATAACAAGTATACGCACAAGCAACAGATATTAGGAGATCAAATAAGTCACTACAAAGGTATAAACTCGAAAGGCTATCTTTTGTACAGAATTTACACTGAAAAATTACTGACCTTGTAGGTAAATATAAACCAGTTTTAAAACTTCCAAATATCTGCACCTGAAACACAAGAACAGAAGAAGTGATTCAGAGCAGCACTGTTGAGAAGGACTTGGGGGTTTGGTTGATGAGAAACTGAACATGAGCTAGCTTCAGTGTGTGCTTGCAGCCCAGAAAGCCAACCGTATCCTGGGCTGCATCAAAAGGAGCGTGACCAGCAGGTCGAAGGAGGTGATCCTGCCCCTCTACTTCTGCTCTCGTGAGACCCCACTTGGAGCACTGTGTGCAGTTCTGGTGTACTCAGCATAAAAAGGACATGGAACTGTTGGGGCAAGTCCAAGGATAGTAAGGGGGCAGGAGCACCTCCCGTACGAGGACAGGCTGAGAAAGTTGGGGCTGTTCAGCCTGGAGAAGAGAAGGCTGCATGGAGACCTCATAGCAGCCTTCCAGTATCTGAAGGGGGCCTAGGAGGATGCTGGAGAGTGACTCCTCATCAGGGACTGTAGCAATAGGACAAGGGGAAATGGGTTTAAACTAAAACAGGGTAAGTTCAAGTTAGATATAAGGAAGTTCCTTACTCATAGGTGAGTAGGCACTGGAATAGGTTGCCCAAAGAAGTTGTGAATGCTCCATCCCTAGCAGTGTTCAAGGCCAGGTTGGACAGAGCCTTGGGCAACACGGCCTAGCGTGAGGCATCCCTGACCATGGCAGGGGAGTTGGAACTAGATGATCTTAAGGTCCTTTCCAACCCTAACTATTCTATGATTCTAAATGATCAGGATTCAGAAGACAAACAAGTTCTATTAAATTGCTTGGAAAAGCTGGTTATTGCTACCCTCCATTGGTATATTTTGGTACTGCCAACAGGCACATTCTGAATAGAAGTACTCTCTTCTGTTAAAACATTTACATCTTCAGTGTAGTGTAAATTGCTAATCTTCAGTGTTATTACCCACAAAACATTAATAACTTTGACTTTTCTATTACAAAACCTTCTTTTTAATATAAAAAATTCACCATGACCAAATTTAGCAAAAAACCATAACTCAAATTTAAAACACTTTAGAATGATAGAACATTAAGAAAAACCCAGTTCAGTACAATTTCTTTTCTGCTTTCATATCTCAAAGTATACCCTTCACTTTTTAAAAACATTATCTAAATTTAATATACTTCCATTGCTTTGCATACTAAAAAAGAATTGCATCACAGTTCTTTTCTGAACTGCAGAGCAAGTAGCACAACTCTGTTTATTTCTGCTTAAAAAAAAAAAAAAAAAAGTTTCAGAGTTTCACATCCCCCAGATTTAATTATGCTGGATTTTTGCTAGCACCGGAGGTTTAAATAAGGAGGTGTCTGTTGTAAACTGTCCAAACCCACAGTTGTTTAGTCTGGAGGAGGCTCAGGGGGGACCTTATGGCTCTCTACAACTACCTGACAGGAGGTTGTAATGAGGTGGGGGTCAGCATCTTCTCCCAAGTAACAAGCAATAGGAGAAGAGGCAATGGCCTCAAGCTGCACCAGAGGTGGTTTACGTTGGATATTAGGAAAAAATTTTTCACAGAGAGGGTGATCAAACATTGGAATAGGTTGCCCAGGGCACTGGTGGAATCACCATCTCTGAAAGTGTTCAAAAACTGTGTAGATGAGGCCCTCAGCGATATGCTTTAGTGGTGGTCTTGGCAGTGCTGGGGTAATGGCTGGACTTGATGATCTTAAAGGCCTTTTCCAACCTAGTTGACTCTATGATTCTAACTTAGCCAAGCCTCACAGGGAGGTTGGACTCCTGCTAAGTCTCAAAGGGGGACTGGTGAGACTTCAAAATAAAAATATCTACACATTTGGACTAATTTTCAACCAGACAGTCTTCTGATGTGTTTCCTGGAGCCACCTTACAGACCTGTGTATTCTGCTTCAGTGAGTCTCATGCACTAGCTTGACTGCCACTTATTTGTATGTCAAGTGACCCACTTTCTATGTTTTTCCCCTTAGGGACAAGAAAAAGGGAGAGATGGGAAAAGACGATGTTTTGCAAGTAAGTGTTTTGATACTTTATTAGACTAGGAAGCTAGTTTGCATGCTTCCTCTTGATTTTTTCATATCATTTAATTCTTCTTACTCCCTCAACCCACCCCCAAAAAAAGCACATGCTGACAGTAATTTGAATGTTGAAAATTCACAGCTTCTCAAACTAGAAAAGACTGCAAGAGATGCCACAGAACTAGCATCAATATTATATTAGATCTTGACAAAAGCATAAAGGCATCACAAAGCTAAGAATGTAACTATTATTACTATTTTCAATACAGGATAATAATAAAAGCATCCTCTGTAAAACTGTTTGGGTTCAGTCAAACCAGGATTTATTTGTCCACCAGAAATATCTGAAAAGTGCTTCTCCACAATCAAACAACCACTGATGGGTTCGGAAAAAAAATAAATGTCCTTCCACATTTTCAAACAAAACAGTATGCTCAGCTGAACAGCAAAGAGAGCCTTTACTGAATAAACAATCCTGAAAATATTCATAAACTGATACAACATATGACCTTTACAGAAAGGAATGAGACAATATCTGCTGTTGTACAATAATTTGGAATATGAGAAACACTGAATTATTATAAAAGAAACCCACACTTCAATCCCTCTCTCATCAAATCTGGAAAGATGGGCGAGGAAGAGTGAGGAAATCGGAACAGAACCATTAAAGGATTTTGATTTATAGAACTGGAATTTAAACTGTTGAAGCTCCGGAGCCATGTACATATTTAAAGTATCCCAAATACAGGACACTATCGTGACTTGAGAAATCTGAGACTTAGTTTTGTAGTGTGCCAACGCTGCCACTTATGGTTTTATTCTATGTGGACAGAGATATGTATTTGCATTCATAAGATAACTTAAGACTTCACAGTACTGTAATGGACTCCTACTCCTGTATGTTATTGTTACTATTTATCCTACATTTCCTCAAACTTACTCGTATTAAATTCCAAAGGTCCTGGATGAGCTTTAATTACAGTGCGTATCCAAATATGTCCTCACTATGCACAACAGAACTTGGAAACCCACAAAAAGTTGGAAACTCTTTGCTACCAAAGTCTCTCCATCAAAAGAAAACAAAAAATCTATCTGTAGCCAGTTTAGAGTTCCCTTTCTTCTACATCATTAAGTAGAATTTTCTGAAGTTTGTCAAACTAAATAGAGTGAATCTTTTTACTTCCATTCACAGTGACAATATTTTCATAACTGAATTGTGTGAAGTATGCCACATTACCTCTTTTCAGATTTACGAAGCCACATAATATTCAGACACGAATCCGAGGACATTATGACAAATACATCCTAAATTCCACTGTATAACTACTTATTTGTTCAGTAGTAAAACTTTCACATTCAATTGGTAAAAAATCTTTGTCTTAAAATGCTCCCATTTAATGTTTTGGGTTGTTCAGTTTCAGCGTAATTAAAGCCTTTCTTATGGTCAGAGCCTTGCTGATGCCAAGAACAGTTCTCACTTAGTAGGAATGTTTCCTTCTAAGCACATTCCCTTGAGTAAGAGAGCAAATGACTTCTGTATATAAAGTAACAGTTTAGGATACCTAGTTTTACCCTCCCTCCATCTGCTTTTTCAGCCTTTCCCTATGTGGAACAGGAACAGACACATTCTACACACTCTGTACGTTCAGATTCATGAAGCCTGATTTTCATTTTCCTTGGTATCTGATTTTTATAGAGTATGTCTTACATACATGTTTAGTGAGAAATTACAAACTGAATGTGTATGTTTAACTTACAAGTTTATTTTAGCTGGATTTGCTGCATCTATGACTCAAAATGAACGGCTTAAAGATTAACTTACCATTTTACACTGCAGCTAAAGATAAGGACATTGGACCAGGTAACACTCTACCTTCTCAGAGTGTGTACTCAAAACTTAAAAAAAGTAGCTAAACCGATACAGATTTCCAGAAGGTTAGTGATTGACTCAAGGAACTGAAAAATTACAACAAAAGACTGTCAAAGTTGAACACAGTTGAGTTCAGCAGTTCAGTTCCCAACCAGATCTGTAAAGTAAGTATTAGAAAAACAGCATTACAGTAATTTCCAGATTGTCACCTGGCATGCTGTGTCACCTGTGTCACTGTTCTGTTCCTCTCTAGCCTCCAGAAAATGGAAGGGCATATAAGAGGAGAATTCTTCCTCAATGTAACAACAGCACACAAGATGCATTTAAGCTCTGAAGAGCAGCTACTGACTTGAGAAAAATTGGCACATTCTTGCTCTCTATCATTTTCAAGAACAGCAAAGAAAGAGGGTCATAGCAGTTTTAACTGGCAATAATTGAAAAGTGAACTTCAGTTTTCAACTACATTGTGTGTGCTTCCTCTCAGTCACATTACAGCTAAGCCCAGTGGCCAGCTGTCACTTGTGGCAGGGCTTGTAATTTGTTTCCCCCCTTAAACAGATTACAGCTACAAAAAACAGTTTCAGTAGCTTAAAAAAAGGCTTTTTTTCTCAAGCCCCCAGTCATATATATATATATATATAAAACAAACATTTTAATACAAAAGACCTAGCTTTTACAGATCAAGTCTGTCCTACAAACAGAGTATCTCTGGATGCACTAAGTTCTTGTGCCCTGTTCAAAGTGTTAGTGGTAACAAAGAAAGATCCCCTGGTAACAAACCCATTCTCCCCATTACACTAGTTTTAAGTCTGAAGCACACAAACTTGTTTAGGAAATAGCGGCCTCTTCTTCAGGCTGAAGCAGTCAGCTGTTGTGGTGAAATCCCCTACTATAAGACTTTGGCAGGGTGTATCAGAGCAAGCACTGGTTTCTACCCACACTATTTCCTATACTATCACCTGTCAAACTGGCAGCCCACTAACTCCTGCTCTTCATTAGGATCTACAACACTGTTTCACTGGGTTAGAGGAGAGCTATACAACACCTGTGAGATATGCTAAAGTCTCTTACAGAGTCCCCTTGGAAAGGTTGTTTTAGTCAAAGAAAAAACTACCAGATATGTGTCGTACTGACTATCATAGCTGTACAAAGGCAGCTATCACTGAGTGAAGAGTGCTCCTTCCATATGATTTGTCACTAATACATTGACCATAATATGAACCACCTTGAAAATGTGAGTGTATTTTACACACAAAACCACACACCACATACCTATAGTTTAGAAATAATTCATATTCTGTGATATTCTGCCAATTTCTAAAAAATACATTCAAAAAGAACAGGTGAAGAAGATCTAAAATGAACAGTGGTTTTAAGTCACTCATGTCAAAACGCTACCTTTTACTGTGGCAGGATCAAAGAGCATTCCTTATACTAAAGATTCTGCTGTCTGAATTTGGTTTACTATTCCAGCTAACAAGTCCTTATTTTCAGTTATTGTTATCTACAGATAGATGACTACAGCTATACATCTCCATTCTGGAAATGTTAGTAGAGGGGTACAACTGAACTAGATGCAATTATGCCAAAATTCCAAACGTGTGCCCATAAAACCACCTTGAGATGCAAAAGCATCTTCTTTGGCTTCTCTTTAATCCAACCTTTATTGAAATAAAGCATAGCTCTGCACAGAAGAAACTTGTTTCGACTGAATGAAGTACTAGCAAAAACCCATCTTCAGTGGAAAGAGGCATTTCAGATTTTAAGCTCAATACACAGATCTACAGACTTGTTTGTTCCTGTACAAAAAAACTGGTTCCTTTAAATTTGTAAGATGTCAATTTAGTTTAACTGCCCATTAAAAACAGCATGGTCTACGAAACATGGCATTGCTGGCATCCCACCTTAATATTCAGGACCACAGGTCTTTGGACTAGAAGCCCTGCTACTAGCAAAGTGATGACTTCCAGTAGATTTGTTTTCGGGTTTCTTTTAACACAGTACATTACAAGCATGCATGCCTGGTATGCTCTCATTAATTTTAGTAAATAAATATTCATGAGACTAAATGTTGCCATACCTTATGACCTCTCTTTGACTACAGTATATCTAGCCTTTCTTTGTTCCTATGTGTGACAGAAAATGTTGACTTGTATTATTCTAGCAAGAAAGATCATCTCCCTCATTTGACCAGAAATCCTTTTGTTGTTGTTTTGGTTTGTGCTTTTTTAATATGGAAAAACAAACAGTATTTTCATGATTCAATACTTCACAAAGCAAACAGGCACAAAATGTTGCTTTCATATATTAAAAAAAAAAAAAACAGAACAGTGTCCTACTCACATCTGCATTAGGCCAGAGCTCTTTTATAACGTTTTCTATCCTGTTCACCACTTCCATCCGCATTCTCTCTTCTTCAGGTCTGGGAGACATATACTTATAAAAGTCAATGATTTCTTCATGAAGACTAAGAAAGAGGGAAGAAAAACAAACAAACAAAAAAAAAACAAACACCAGAGAGTCATGGAAAAAAAAAAAAAACACAAGAAACTGAAACAGCAACTATTCTAATCAAACATGCTTTTTGAGCTCCTAGTTACCTATCTAATTACGGGCCAGTTCAAGAGTAGCATGCAATTAAAAAAGAAAACAGGTTCACAACACTTGGCAATGTTTAATTTCCTGTTAGCTTCTTGTGCCATAGGTCAATATTGCACTGCACTTGCTGAAAGTGTGAAAGCAAATTTAAATCCAAGCACCTTCAATTCACATTGAAAATCACACTCTGTATTTTACTGCCAGTGTAGCAGAGAAATGGTTCAGTCTTCAAGTCTGAACGCAGCTGTAAGCTCTGAGTACAAGCTCTGCAAAAATGTAAACAGGAGGTTTTCAGCCAATGCTTCCTAGTCAGCCCTTGGCACCAGCAAGGGAGTTTCAGGCATCAGTCTGTGTTCAGTAAAAAGCTTTTAAAAAGTTGATAGCAATTGTGCCAGTACTAGAGCTAGGAAAAAAAATGCTTCTTTTAACTGCTTAAAGACACAAACTATGCACTCTCCCCCCATAACAAGAAAATAAGTAGTACACATACAGCAGTGGTGGCTCAGAAGAGTAAGTGATTGACAGACAGTAACCCATACATTTGACAGTTTACCATGTCAGTCAGTAAGTTGTGTTTAGAGTACCTATGATTAGAGCTGAAACAAAAACGCCTTCATACAGTACCACAAATTTCTGTGCTTCTGTAATATCATAAACACATCATCTTGACTAACAGTGTATTTAGAAAAACTGACACGACCCTTTAATATCAGCCACAGAGTAGCTAATCTGTTTCCTGCATTACAGTAATAGCTATTTTTTAAAAATGTATTGTTTCTAGTTACCAAGTACAACTGCATCTCCTCTTAAAGTTCTGAGGGACCATCAGAAGAGAGCAATTTATTAAGAGCAGATGAGATGGGGAATCTAATACTTCCCCACTGCATACACACTTCAAAAAATCCAATGTTAATAACTGGAAGTTGAATACAGGTGGAAACAAAATATTAAAATATCTGAAAGTTGTATTCAACAGTGTCAGCGTAGGGGCAGAACTCAAACCATCTGCATTATGTTCTTCAATACTGCAGCGTTACGAACAATGCAAGCTTCTTTCAGAGACAAAGAAATAAGATACTTACCTTACTTTCTGGTGAGCATTTATGGGAATTTTCCCCACATGTGGTTAGGGGAATAATCATAAGAGCCTAGCAACTCGTGGTGGCCATCACCACAGCTCTCTATAGCTAACACATACAGAAAAACTGAGAGTTCCTCCAAAGGGTAATCCAGACAGATACCCAATTCAGACAGCTTAATCAACCTCTGGAGAAGCTTCTTCTCCTCCTCTGACACCTACAGAAGGAGCCTTACAAACACTTAAAGTAAAAACTAAAACAAAACAACACCCCACCCCCCCAAAGATCACCTGCAAAAATGCAAGGTGTCATCTCCCATCTCCCCCCTTACTGCCACACTAGCACCATGCCCTGTTCACACACATCACCTCAGGTACCACAAGGATGTTCTGAACACAGCTGCAATATTCATACCAGTGAATGCTGTTTTCAGCATTTATTTTGACATCGCTAGGAAATTTCTCACCTCCTCCTACAGCTGCTTTCTTGTTTTTCCCCTGGAAGCTTACAACCTGGGGTTAATGAGCACATTCCAAACTACCACTGCCATCCCTTACAGAGGCGCTGACTCCTCTGCCTTTGGCTTTTCAGCCATCTCCTGTTCTTCTGTTCTTCACTGCTATTCAATTTGTTGGCACTCTAAACCTTCTTACAGCTATCCTCCCCTTGCAAGAGCTGAATGAAGAAGTACGTGACAAAGCACAAGTTGAGTACTCCAACAACCACGTTCCCTCTCTGTCCCCACTGCCAATCACACACACCGAATCACTAATTCAGTCCCCATGTGCTTGACCATTAAGGTAGCATTCAAAAACAGGAGCAACAAGGAAAACAGGTAAAAAAACAAGCTCTAGAAAACTCAAATTATTTTTCAACTGTAATTTGGTGAACCAGCTTAGAGGAAGACCTTGGCTTCCTATCATGCATAGCAAACTCTTCACTTGATTTGTGGGCTACATCATGGTGATTTGATCGAGCCCCGTTTCTGCATCTGCTCCTCTGGCCTAGCTGGAACAGACTGGTAACATCCACGAGGCACAAGCTTTACCCCAGAGCAACGTTTTAGTAACATAAGACTGAGTGCACACATGCACTGCATGCCATGCGGAGTGGCACCAGATTGTGTGAGGGCACTTAACACAAAACGTGCTGGGATAATATGGAGGCAACTATCCCCGAGGAGAAATTCATTTATGGCACAGCACAAATCAATACTGCCCATTTTTAGCAGGCCCAGCTGCTCCTGGGCTTCTGCTTTACAGGAGTTAATTGTTCCCCTGTCCCATAAGGGAACTTTAAAAGAACAAGGCAATCAGCAACGAGGTCCCCAAAGTGCACAACTGTCAAGACATACAGACACTGCAGTTCTTGGGGCACTTCTCTTTATTAGCTCTACTGACACTCTTAATCGAGATAATTACATCAATTGGTGCATTCTTTAGAAGCACACAAAATAGTTATGTGTGGTCAGAACCAGATGTATTTCTTTTTCTAAACATAAATAACATGCGTCTGCATCTCTTTAAAGGGGATCCTTCTTATTCTCAGTTAGTCATATGTAAAGCCTTAAGGCAAAACAAAAAGTTAAGCAGCATGGAAAACCACAGAAACTCACATTACACATGCACTGAGCATTACTAAACAATGCAGATGTAGAAAAAATGAACTTTGCACTTTTTCAATTACAGAAAAAAGGCTTAAAGACTACTAGGAAAAGTTCCCATCGACACACCAGCTGGAAATACTACAGACATATCTGTGTTTCATCTGCTTCTAAGACTGCCTGTGCTGCACAGACCACAGCATGCAGAAAGCAGGCAGAAGCCATGAAAACTCAGCACTGCACCTGGAACTGTATCTCCCTGCCTGTGGAGGCAGTGTTCTCACAGGAAAATGGATAATTGGTACATAAACTTTGAATAATCCTGAAAGATACAGCAAGGCCATGAGAGGCCATACAGCAGAAAAAAGGGGCAGGCCCAGCAGCCTGTATTTGGCGTATGTTGGAGATATAATCTAGCCCAAATCCCCTGCTCAAGTAGAGTCACCCAAAACATATATAAAACAAAAAGGGGGGGGGGGGGGGGGGGGGTGTGGAGGCAGTGATCTCACAGGAGAATGGATAATTGGTACATGAACTCTGAATAATCCTGAAAGATACATCAAGGCCATGAGAGGCCCAAGGAAGCATAAGCAAGCAAGATAAGAAGAAGCTGGAATTCACCGAGTTATGAGAACTGTGGACTGTTGGCAAGCTTTCGAGGTCAAGTTCTCACACCTGTGCTTAACCAATTATATGTTAGTCACTAAGGGTCTTCAAGACATGTATCCAATCATAATATGCCAAATCACTGTAACTGCATGTAAGAAATAGTATATAAGGAGTTAAGGCTTTGTAATAAATGGCTTTTGTCTGATCATATTGATCTCTGACTGGGTCCATATATTTTCTGCGGCACCTGCCCAGTAATGGCTGCTGACAAAAAATAAGGGAATGATTAATTAAAGCCAAGACAAACAGAAGTAGCCACATGCAGAGCCCAGTGCAGTACAACAGGACTTAGAGGCGTGACTCCAATTAACATGAAGTTAACTCCAGCTGTACTGAAAATTACAATTTGTGGATATTCACTGTCTTAGTCTATTATAGTTGCTCTTAAAATAAAATAAATAAATTGTTTGGATTAATGGAGTCTGTTTACAAAAGCCTCTAGTGGAATTTTATACCTTTAGCCAAAAGGAAGATCAAAGAGAGTGAGGAATTATTTTCGGCATCATAACAGTCTTTATTATTTAATGCCATTACATCAATAAGTTATTTCAGATAGAAGTCCTTAAAAGGAGACTTGATTTTAGAAAGAAAATTACACTGTAATAAACCCAATTTCACTATGGAGAGATATTTTATTTGTCTTTAGAGTGTATATACTGAACAGCATATAGTATATACTGAATATAGTGCATATACTATATAGTAGTATACTGAAGCATACCAGATGCATGGAGATAGTTCTTTGCGATACGTAAGAGCATTAGTTTACTGTTTTTATTACAGGAAATAGCAGTACAAGTGGGTCTTTGCTTTGTACTTCAGGAAATTTTAACACGTGAGGAAAAGAAAAATTAGTCTCTTACACTTTTTGAGTATGTTTTAAAAAAAAGTACTAACTGCATTACACCCTGTTTTCAAGCCTAGATGATTCCGTCAGAATTTCACAGACAGAACAGGATTATACAGAGGCCACTAAAGTTAGTAGATTACAGTGTCTGTTATGTTTACCTGACAGAGATAGTGATGCCTCATTACAAAATAAAATATGGCTGCAAAAGCTGTAATCAGACGAACTTCCCACCGTAACATCACCAAATAGCACCACAAGGAAGATAGGTCTGACACAACTTGTGGGCTCTAAATGTGCAACTTAGGATTCTCAAGTGAGTTTACCTATACCCAATTGTTACTCCGGAGTATGGATCTTACTGCACCTCAAGAAATCAAAAAATAATCACGTACAAACAAAATGTTATTTCTGTTTTATATGCACAGCACACAGACAGATATGTGGACAAGCACATACAATTGACCATACACTTCAGTTACCTGACACATAAAACAGCACAACTTGCAACTGTTGCAAGTCCAGAACTGGAACCAAGAGTGATACTGGGAGGTACATCGCTTTATGAAATGTAATTCAAAATGATACAAGTTTCACTCCTCTGCACTAGGATCCATGCCACAAACCTTCCCTGCCTGCCCCAAGCAGCTGAGCAGCAGAGCAGAGTCCTG